CTGCTATCTCTATGGTAACTATCAGGGGGGTCTCGAGAGTGGTGGTAGACCCAATGCACCGGCCCACGTACTGTTGTTCTTGCCAGCATTACGTGCTGACCACATGGGCCTGACTGCTCATTTACAACTACTTCTTATTTAAAAAGAATATTGATACCTTAAAGTACTTAAATGGGCAAAAGGGATCGCATGCTTGAGCACAAATAGTTGTTGGGTTCTTAGGGTTTTGGAAAATGGTTTCTGTGTTCAGAGCTGCTTTGCTTGGCAGATCTGTTGTTGTCTTCTAACCGTTGTGGAGTGGCATGTTGGCTGTTTCATGTACTCTGGAAACAAGTTACGCTGCAAAAATGAGTATCCGCATTGCAAGGTAGCCAGTGGCAGCGCAGCGGTGGTGGTTGCAACCACAAGCACAGACTGGGAAAGTATGTAAGAGGGGTTTGCGTGTTGTAAATGCTGTGAACTCTTGCTTTTCCCCGTGCTAGCCAGCCTACTGCATATTCCCAGGTGGCTGCTGTAATGCAGGTATTAAAAATGAAATTGTAGGCAAGCGTTGGGTTGATAATATATCTGCTTGTCCACAATCTGGGATTTGTGCAAGCATGGAACAACCATAGGATCTGATGGAAGGAACCACTGAAAAACCTGTGGTGTGGGCAGAAGAAATGGACACGGTGCCTTTTGGCTGTAAAGCTTTCCTCCAAATAGCTAGGGATGCCCGTGGGAATGTGGGCAACCAGGGAGACTTAATGAAATCTAAGGCTGTCTATATTATACCAGATCCAGTTGCTCAAGAGACAAGAAACTAGCCCTAGAACTTTTGAAGAGCTTAAATTAATTTGATTCAAATACTTGTGGAAATTATTTATGCAGTACGTATGATATTAAAAATGTAATTCCTGTCAGGACTGTACTCCAAATATTGTTCTGTTCTGTTAAATTCTTCCAAACCACTGTGATTTTTGTCCCCTCTTCCAAATGTGTCTATAATATTTATGTCCAAAAATTGATTCAATTTGTAGTATCTGTTAATTCCGTTAATAGCATCAGCTTATAGGCAGCAATAAATAAAATCTATGACAAATTTTTCCAAGGTTTACCTGGCTTTTTGAAATTAATTGTTTCATTTCCTATATAGCTTTGTAGACATTTCTGAACTTAAAAAGAAGTCAACTAGCCTTATTATATCCTGACATTACATACTGCCACAGCACTTAGGATGTGCAATGTCAATCAGTTAACTACACTTTACCAGCCTTTCCGCTACATGAAAATGCACTGCAAAACCAACACCATCCTATTTGAATCTCTACAACCCTCAAACAATTACACTGCAGTGTTGACACTGAAAGCATCATTTTGCTCGAATCCTTGACAGGAATAAACTTCAGAAGATGATTATTAGATTTTTCAGCTGGCTGCATAATCTATATTCACAACTTTATTAATCGTTTAGTCCACTTAACTGTATATCGATTGTGAGTTCTACATCTACCTGCCTGTGGAGAAATCAACATCTATAAACTGCCCTTTTGGGTGAAATCCTGTCAGCGGTGAGAGGGTTAACACTGTGGGCATTTAAGTGGTCATAATTAACAGTCCATTAAGATGAATGGAGAAAGTTCGCACTTAGCGATGCTATTGTTTAATTCTGTCTGTTTACAGACTCAAGAGGACAACAGCGCGGGGCTTGACATCGCCCAGGGTTTGCACTAGGGCAGTTAGGAATCGCATTTTTAAATAAATTATAACCTTAGATTAAAAAACAAAAAAAAGCGAAAATCCTTTGGGAAACACACTTCCTGCTTTGGGGGATTTCTGTTGTCCCAGTTCACTCTCTTGAATAAGTGGGTTTGATACTAACTACCATTTTGCTTTCCACTGAACCAGTCCACCAAAACAAAGCCCTCACTGTACTTAATCCCCTCCCCGTTTCACAATGATTTATATAAGCGATGGATTTTGTAGCCGGTTATTAATAGGGATGCGGGAGGAACTCAGCTCTACTAACCTGTAACGGTTCTCCTGGTTCTGACGGAGGGCTGCTCTTTCGCAGTGTTTGACATTTGATATAAAATCCCACTATTAATATCATCAATGTTGAGCATTAAAAACATGAAACAGGACACAAACCCAACATATCAGCCTAGAAAATCTCTACTGTAAAAAAACTTGGTTTCATTTGCCTTTTGCACCCTGAAGATTTTACAAAAAATAATTTTTCAACCTTTTCTCCGGTGAAGTTGGAAATTTATGTTGTTAAAAGGAGGCTGAATTTTTCGTGTAATCTGTTCATTCCGAGCTCGGAAGCTTTAAAAAAAATAAATAACAAGACCACAGCTATACCAAGACTCTCAACAAAATCCTGGGTGTTGCTAACAGTACACTGCTGAAGAATGCAGCTCAGCTTTCGCAGCAAGTCTGAAGTCAGAGCTCCCAGGAGAGCTGGGATGGGCCCAGGTAGAGAATTCGCTATCTGAATGAAAAACTTTTTAGCCAAAGTGCAGTAGTGAAACTGCTAGAGAAGCCTATCATTTCAAAGTAATACATAGTTCTTTTTAAAAGGTCTCCATTTTATTGGTACAATTTTTTCCTTGTAAATGATTGTGAGTGTAATTAATTATAGGCAATAAATTGTAAGTGCATTTCATAGCTCCTGTATGTCTAGCTAAATGACAGCGGTCAGAAATGCAGTTGTTAAACATATTGAAGAGCAATAGAATAAGTAGTTATTTTCGCTAGATTTTATTCTTTGATATCAGAGCGCCTGAAAAAAATATGACAAATATCAACATTTCTATGAAAATGTTTTCATTATTCATGTCAACATAAATTAGGGATAAATTTTTGCAGACACGGTTTTGGTCTTAAGGACAGGGATGCTTGCTGAAAGATAACCTCAAAATGCAGTTATAGAATTATGTTACCTGTTCTTGTTAGAAATAACATATTCATGAATGAATGAATGTGGTTTTGCATGCCGTTTACAGTTTGGATTTCTAGTGCTTTCAAATGCAACTTTGAAATTTAAAAATACAATGCTTTTTAAAAAATTAATGTTGATGTTTTGATAAGAACACTCGACGTTAATTTTAGCAAGTACGTGCTTGGTTAAATTTGAATTAGGCCATAATACCTTACACTTATTAGCATTAAAAATGCACCTGAAAGAGCCAGAATGGATCCTGGAGATACTTTGTAGAAAATCTCCTTTTATCATATTTTCCTGGCAAATCAGATTTCTAGAAAGGTAAATTGCATAATTTTAAAATAAAGCATTTGAAATTATTTCAGCAACTTGAATCCTACATGTCTCTGCTTAATACAAATTGTTAATATTTTGAAAACACTGAAACTGAAAACAGCAGTCTGAATTAACAGGAAGAAGTACTTCATGCTGTATGCCCCCAGTAAAACTGTGAGTAAAATTTTTAAATGTAATAATTGATTTCATTTATTAAAAATAGAATAGAAAAAAACATAGGAGAGAGCCTCGGGGACTAAAGCTGTGTTTGAAGAATGGTAGAATTCTTACTCTTTAAACAGGAATTAAAACAGTTAAAATAAGTTTTAGCATCCTTCTTTATCTCCTTGAGCCACTATCTCTATCGGCCTAAACCAGTGAACTCCAGCAGATGATAATTAAAGATGGACTGGAATTCTTACTGAAGACATGAAGCCTATTGAATTCATGGCTCGTGGTTCACAGATGAGCTGCAGCTCCTGAGCACTCCTGACTTCACTGCTCCTGAAAGCTTTTTAGGTGCTTTAAGAAAGGCTTCATGCAGGAACAAGCCCCTTTAGATCAGTGTGACAATTAGGGCGTTCTCCTGGGAAGCTGGTTTGAATCCCCTGAGGCTGGGAGGAGGATCTGAGCTCATCTCTTTTACTTTCTGGTGGTATTGCTGCGGCTGGAGTCTGGCAAAAAAATGAGGAACTCTGAAAATTTTAGGGTTATTCCATGAGGGGCGCCTCATCCCAGTTTTTGAATGGAAATAGCTGTTGCTGCTATGTTTTATGCTGAATTCAGTGCAGCTGGGACCCGGCAGCAACGTGCCTGCTAGAGCAAACTCAAGGTTGAGGCACACCACAGCCCTTGGTTGTTCAGTTGCCATCTCCAGGCGGCAGCGGTTCCGGGCAGCCACAGAACAAGAAGTCAGGATACCAGGATTTCCTGGTTAAAATGTAGTCAGCTGCCTCCTTTCAGGTTCCTGTGAAGCGAGGAGAGAGTTTGGGAGGTCCATGCCTGGAAGGAGGCAGTGGTGTCCTCCCGGGCCTTCATTCTGAGCCTGTGGATGCTGTCCACTTTCCAAAAGCTTCACAGCTGTGTCTTTCGAGTTTGTGTGAGCTGTGGCAGGACCGTATTTCTCCTTCCATATGTGATAGCTGAAGCGAAGAGGCAATTGATCTTGATTATTCAGTCTGTTGTGTAGGTGGGTAGGCGTGTAAGGGAGCTTACCTGTCTTTGCTTGTGTGGTATTTATTTTTTAAGATTTGTGTTTCCCAGTCTATTGGTTTCAGTAATAATCTTTGTGTAGGGGCATCTTGTCAGCAGCTTGAGGGCTGAATGCAATGTGAATACTTTTTTTTCTCTTAAAAAAAAGGGCATCTTTTACCTTTCCTTTTACCTGATACTCCATTCTTTGGTGATTCTTGATTTGTATCACTGCTTTAGTTCATCTCTAATTGCAATCGCTGCCAGTTCCAGCGACAAGCTCTATATGCTTTTTCCTTCTCCTTGATTTGTACAGTAACTGACCACAAATCCTTTGCCTTCCCCAGAACATAAGACATTGGTTTCCACAGATTAGGAGCTGACTGGTTGCAGGATGCTCAGTAAATGTTCTTCCCAAGAAGTAAAACTGTGCTTTAAATGTAAAAGTAAAACACCAGCCTTTAAATGATGATGTCAAAATGTCAGAGAGGAAAGTGGCCATATGTGAGGTCATGAGTCTCACTGATGCGTAAAGCAACCAGCCTTGAAAGTCAACTGCGGACGGGAGATGGACAACTTCTTGCGCCAGGATCATACCACGCAGGAAGGGCAGCTGGGGAAGCAGCGCTTCTGGAGATCGTGGGCACTGAACTGGCAGGCATGCTGTGGGTTGTCCTTGTAGGAAGGAGAGAAATAATATATGTTAAATGCCCACTGGCTTTTCTTTTAACTTTTATTACTAGGTTAAAAGGGTTGCAGTCAGATTCCAGTGACTAGTCAAATCTAACTTTACAATTTAAAACAATGGGGTTTTACTAAATTCCTTGGGTAACTATTCTACAAGCCTTTAACCACAGTGCCTAAATTCAAGAAAAAACTAGTATGAGTTCTGGTGAATTTTGGAACACGTTCAAAAAGTGAATATTTATGAGAATGGCATAATATATTTATTCTGGATACAAGATCTGCAGATTTCCTTCACGTGTTTTTTTTTTTAAACTCAGGTTTAACTTCCCTCCTTATGACTCTCTCATGTCTAGCCCTGCACACTTCTTCAAATGAGAGGAAGAAGGAGAATTTGCGAGTCTCATCCTTGCATAGGACTCGAACTTACTTATGCTGGAGAGTTATGCATGTATGGCAAACAGGGTCGTGGATCTTGGTTTATATCAAGATTGCGGTGAGATTTTTGAGTGCTGTGGATTTTGTATATACGTTGCTGTATATGCAGTTAGACTTACTCAGCTTGATGCGATTGTATCAAGCTAATACTTCCAGTCTATTAGTCTGTGGTGCAGGTTTGCCTAAAAGAGACAGGGTGTTTTTTGCAGAACACAGACAACAACTATCGAAAAACCAAGTGGCTGTTAGGGTATGCTACTGAAGAAAGAAAACTGCTAGAACGCAACCGTGCTTTCAGAGAGTAGGCAGTTTCTCCAATGTGTGTAATGACTGACAAATGATCTCTGCTCCCGAGTGCTTGGATGTGGTCTGGGAAATCTCATCCTGGTTGTTGTTACAGGCAGGACTGTACGGATTGCGCTTTGGCCTCTGAGCCAGCCACTCGTTGGCATCTGTGCTCTAAGCATGGTCTCCCACCAGCAGCAGCAGATGATGCCAAATGATACCGATATCATTATTTCAAGAAATTGCAGAGTGTTTTTTTAAGAGTTATAATCATATTTAATAACAATTTGAAGGTATTGGAGACTAGCATGTTTTCTGTATGTCAGACATGAAATTTCCAACTGTTCGCTTTACTGTGTGCTACCTAGGAAAGCTTTTCTGAAAGTCAGTTTAAGACACTGAGATAATTCTAATGCATAAATGGGTTTTGCTAGTATCTGTTGTAGTAATAAATGAATCACTGCTTGCTTTCAAGATGAGGCAGACAGTTAACTTGGGGTTCACGTGATGTTTTTTCATTTTACTGGACATAAATTCACATCTCACAGGTTGATATAGGGTGGGTTTAAACACTCATTTTAGGAAAAACAGCCATTATCTTCTGCAAAGGACAGCCCATAGCTCCTGTAGCACCTGCTGCCTGTCTCTGGGACATACCAGCATGTTATGCAGTTGGTTACCTCTGGTTTTGTAGTATGAATTCATTCGTTCAGGGCTAGCGCTGAGTGTAGGTGCCTGCAGCTGCCAAGGATGTCTGTGATCCCAGCTGTTCTTCAAGGTGCAGTGGTGTTTCTGTGAGAGGATAGCTTCAAACTTTGTGGCATATCTAGTTTGTGTAACTTTTGGATTTGTAGAGTGTAACCATGTGTGAGGGAAAGGCCATTTGAAATATCTGGCAACTGTAAAAGTATCACCTGCTCTGCGAGATTTACTGATGGGGTATTTGGATCTCTTCCTAAAACTCTTGGTATGGACATTTTTGAGGAATTGATGCCATACTATTTACTAGCTGTATGATTTGGCATGGGGTTCTCTGCTGGCAGTGCCACGGGACTGGTCCCACCTTGAAATGTTGTGCTCCACGTTAGGCCTCGGTATTTGAAAATTGTTTGTCTTTACTGGCAGATGCTGGAGGAAGATCAGAGCTGCAATTAACCTATTTACAGTTAAAGCTTACGCATGACTTAGAAAAAAACCCTAAACTTTAAACCAAAAAAGATTTAAAAGTTATAGAACAAATGACTGAGTAGAGCAGATCTGGGTTTAATTAACTATAAAAATGGTTGCAAATGTTTTCAAAAACTTTTAACATTATGGGTTGGGAAGTTGCTATTTTGGAAGCTCTCAGCAAGTGGCACAGCTCTCCGGGGAGTATGTGGGTGGTGGAAACGCTGCGCTGGCGTGGGTGATGGAGCCAGGTCCCCCCCGGGAACGACGATGCCTCTACCAGGAAGCAGCTGAGCCCGGGACTGTGCCTGGCGCTTGCCTGCACAGAGGAGTCCAGCTCGATGGACGTGCGTGTGTTTTTAGCTTCTATTGCTGCTTCTGCTGCTGAGAAAATTCAAATCATTTGGCGTTTGCTCACTTAGAGACACTTCCTCACGCAGTTGCCTCGGGGCCCAAAATAGCATTACTGACCTCAACGTGGACCATCCCTCCTGCACATCATTTGACCATTAACTTAGGGGGATTGTCTCATACAAATAAGTTAGCTGCCTTCCTGGGGTGCCCAGTATGCGTGGAGATCAGAAGAAAGCAGGGAAGGGTGCGGTGTTTGAGGAAAGCCCGTGCTATCAAATGTTGCAACTGCAGAGGTCTGGCAAAATCTTTTCCCAGGGGCTGGAACAAGGGGCTAGTTTTAAGAATTGATCTCCAGTTATTAGCTGCGACTGAAAGGGATGACACAGGAAAAGAAAAAGTGTTGGTATTTCCAGAGCAGGCAGTATTTCAGATTATATTAGTTTATTATAGAGAAGCATCCAAAACTATCAGCCAATCCTCAACGCTTAAACAGCAGAGATTGGCATATAATGAGTAGAAATACGGTGTATATTTGCCAATTTAGGCTGCAAATCTAACTTCTGATCCTTTCCAAAATATCAATGGCCAATATAAAAAATGTTTTTGTGGCAGAAGCCTATGCGAACCGAGGTGTTTCTTGGGGAGTAATAGGAGTTGAATGTTTAAAAAATTTTGTGTTTACTATCTGGGGAGCATTATTAAGAAGTATTTAATTTCTCTCAAAAAATTCAGCCCTTATATAGAAAAAAGCAAACCCTGCAAAAAACCCCAAACAGGCTTTGAAAAATATTTTAATAATGAAGCTGAGCAAGTAATTTAAAAAATATTCAGTGTATGTAAATAATGTAATAACCGTGATCTCAGCTCACAAAAGTAATAAAGTTTTCAATTTCTTTAACTAATATCTCTATATTTTAATTATTATCTGATGGATTAGAACATTTCATACTTGTCTTGAGTAGCTCTTGGTCAGAGTTGTAGTAGCAATAATAAACTCTGTTCCAGTTGTGTGGTCAGATGAGCATACAGGCATATCATGGGAAATTTTTACATGTGTAGATTTAAAATCTTTCTCACATACTAATGTTTGTACATTATTTGTTGAGCACTACTCAGTTGCGAACACAACTATCACACTTTGCTTCTCAGCAGGCTTTTCTTAGCAGTCCTGATTAATGCTTTGCCTCATTCATTTTCACTGGGAATAAGTCGATGTCTCATTGAGTCTCGCTGATCTTGACCCCCCTGCTACTGAGAGCGGCCAAAGCTATCTAACCTGTCGTTAGAACATGTCAGGGAACTCACTTCTTGCAGCCATGATGATCTTCCAGGAGATACCATTTTTCATTACGGAGGTGACCATGTAACTTTTTAAAACTATCAGTTTATGATGAACCCTTAAGCCCAGTGTGCAAACACTGGGGGGAAGATGCTGCTCTGCAGGCACTGCTGCTGCTGCCAGCTCTGCCATCCGTCCTGAGGTACATGGATGAAACCCCAATAAACACAGCATGCGAGTACCTCACAGTTGTTGTCATTTTTCACAGCCTTCTGATGAGGTAGCAAAGTTATTTCAGTTTTACCAGTGCCAACAGAGGTACCGAGTCACTGCAGTCCAAATCCCCAAAGAGATTTAGATAACTAGTTTCCACATGGGCATAAACAGGAACCTGAATCCTGGTCTGTCGGGTCCCACACGGGCTGCCAAAACACCGGTCCAAACCCAGCTGTAAGCGATGTCACAGTCACACACCCAAAGCTTTGATGGGACACTGCAAACCCTCCCTGCTAACCTGGAGGGAACCGGCACACGAGATGCCCTCGGCAGGGAAGGACAGTGGGGCTGCTGCTTGGTTGGTGCCGGCCCCAGTTAGACATCGCCTGTCTGATGCAGGTTCTGCAGATCCTTCCCACCAGCATGAGCTTCTTTTTTTTTTTCTTTGTGAAAGGAGGAAGATATTTGTTTCAGGGCGTAAAACTTAAGTCTCAAAGGCAACATGGGTGTTGTTAGGATCTGGTAATTTTACTGTTATGGAATAAGCTGCTGATGGGGGAAATTTCCTTGTAATGCTAGGAGTTGCAGTTCAGAAAACTTTCACTGGCCTAACAAAGTAGAAACATTTACAGGCCTCATCAGGAGTAAGTAATAACTTTAATGGAGCAGTTAATTAGTTCTGCTCTTTTCAGACTGGATCATTAGAATTTAATGAGAATTAATAATTTCATAAAGCATGGAAATATATTGCCCCAAGCAAAATATGGTAACACACATTTCACAAATAGCTATTTTAAATGAATGCGGTGACATTTTCTCATATTGTTGGATGATCTATAATATTTTTATGTAGCAACTCTAGGTAAAGTATATATTTGGCTCACATTATGAAGTGTGTTACTGTTTTAAGATACAAAGTCCCCATTGTTTGTGAATAGCAATATAAACCTAAATACAGCGATGTAAATGTGATTCTTTATCACTGTTGGCTTTTTTCTTGAACATTGTAAAGGCAAAGCTACTGACCACCTAGAAGCATCATTGAAAAGCAGCAGAATTCCTTTGCCATGTGCTATAACATTCTTGTGTCAGATCTATCACACGACTTATCTGAGTAAAACAAGCACATTACCTGTTTGAGAATAAGATGTCATAAAAGAAGGACAGAAGATATTTATAAACAAATATATTTGGAGCTATTTTAGCTTGACATCATCTGACAACATAATAAGTAATGTAACAAGCAAGACACAACATTCCATTTAAGGTGATTTTTTTTTTTTAGTCTAGCACTTTATGTAAATGGTGATCTACAGTTTTTGTGTCTAAATTATTGTTCATGGCATAAAAGGAAACCATTTCTCATTTCCAGATTCTGGGCTGGTTTAAATTGGCCTGACTTCCACTGACCTTCATGAGGTTGTACTGATGTGCGTGAGTGGAGGATGGGGCCCAAACACTTTAATGAAGGCTCTGGAAGCCCTAGAAGAGAGGGGAGGAAATTCCTTCTGGTTCAAGTGTCCAAAGCTATTGTATATGCTATAACTGGTGATGACTCTTCTTCACAGAGTTTTTCCTTTGGTGCTTGAATATATAGATGACATTCTTTATTGTATTCATTGCAAATTAAAATAGTTGATCAATAAACCTGAAAATTTGGTGGATATTATGAACGGGCTTTCTGCACGTGGCCTGGATTTGCAGGCTAAACAAACACAGCATAAAATGGAGGCAGCCAAGGAAAAGCATTGATCCTCACCCCTCATCCCTGTAGTGTGATGCAACATATGTAAGTCTAACACAGTTAAATCCGTATAAAGCTGGTGCAGTGGGGCAGAGATTCAGACTTGCATAGTTTCTAATCTTATTCCTGAAAGATTTATAGCCTGGATTAAACATGTCAGAGTGAGTAAGGGCCAAAGTAGAGCTCCCCTGCCACTGGGGCTAGGCTGTGGTTCCCTATCATCATTAGAACACTGTTTGTGGGGAGATCTGAATTCCTCTTGCTGTAGCAATACCTAGCCAAAGTACAGAAAGATCAAACTATTCAGCTTTTCATGATGGTCCAACCCATTTCATTTTTCAAAACTGCAGAGCAGTAAAATGAACCATTCTTACTTGCTGGCTCTTCTGAGCAAAAAAATAGCAAGAGAAAACCCTGGCTCAAACTTCAAATACATAATACATCTCCCATCACAGATGTGAAAGAAAATTACCCACCAGATATTTTTTCAGTAGACATTTGTATTTAAAATGAAAAATGTGATCTTTAAAGATTTTCAACAGTCAGATGAAAAACTGCTAGCTCTATATATATTAAAAACATATATATATATAGGTTGAAAAGTCTGCAGGAGATGAGTAATTGGAGTGAGTGTTCCAAGTATTGGCCATCCAAATATGCAACAAACTGTATTCTACTTCTCTCAAATTTTTTTTATTAACTGCTATAGGATTTAAGACTAAAAGATATTTTTTCTCAGCTTCTTTTTCATCTTCCAAGCATGATGCTTTCTGTTACTATAATGATTGTTATGTACTGCAGCAGCACTGAGGCACTAGTGATTGGAAAGCGAGAGCTACTGCTTTCATATAACAAAAAGCCAATCTCTTCCAGAAAGCTGGCAAATACAAGAATATAGGGGAGGGGACAGGTGGGCACAACAGAGCAGGGAAGACGTCGTAATGGCACCACTTATTGTATGTGCAACTGTGAAGGGTGAGATTTGACCACTACTTGGTAATCGTTGAGTGGGGAGTTGAACAGACACACGACATAGCAGCATTTTAAAATCCTCAGGGCCTGATGCTAGCTGTGGTACCTGCAAGCAGCACTGGGAGCAAGAGACCTGCCCGATCTTCCCGCGGCTTTCTCTTCTCTGCTGGATCATGTGCTGGAGGTGGCCCAGGTTCAGCCATGATGGCCATTTTCTGTTCCTGTTCTGCAAGAATTTTCCCTTGGTCTCCCTAAGCAAGTGGGAAGGTTAAGGAAGGAGGAGGGCTCGTGTCTGGTACCTCAGTTACTTCATTTCTACCTGCTTAGGAGGGGTTGGTGCCATGAAATGACGGTGCATTCCCCGTGGGAGGACAAGCTGTGGAAAACTCTCCGTGCCCGCTGCCTGCCCCGGCACATGCAGGTAGCAGGCAGCTTTACACTGCTCCTCCTGGCTGGCCCTGCTAAGGAGACTGCTGGGGTTTTCCTCTTGAAGCCTGCCTTACACTGGTCTCCATCTTCACAGGGGTCAGGGCTGTGAGGAACAATTGTTTTTCACTCACATAATGGGTCTTTCCTCACAATGATGTGTAAAGAAAGCGAATGGAGATAATGGCTCTTCTTTCTGGTCTAACCCAGACCTTTTATGTTATTTTAATGTTGGTTTAGGTTTTAATTAGAGAGCAATCGGCATCAGCAGTTGTACACTTGATCATATATCATATGATCTAAAACCTAGCTACTTGATCCCATAAGATCATTTGTATCGTATTGCTGTATTTTATTAAATATTGATGCCAAAGTTTTCTTTTCAGCATTGGCAAATCCTTTTAGTCAATTAACAGTAAAATAAAAATCTTTCAGTTTGGTGAGAGCTACTGTAATTATATTTACTTTGCAGTTTATTACCGTATGTTTAAAATGTTTGTATGTTTGTATTACACCTAAAAACTTCATTAAAAGAACATTAAAGCTGCAAAGTGTAGTATTCTGAAATTAGGAAATGATGGAAGTATGTTTTCCTGTGCAACTTTAAAAACTCTTTAGGGAAATCAGAACTGCATGTTAGCTGCCTGGACTCTGTATACAGGGCGTGAGGCAAGGCAGGCGCCTCCAGATGGGATATAAACAAACCCATGTGATGGCCTGGGAGCCACCTACACTCATAAATTGGGAGTGTGAGAGACAGGGCTCCATCTGAAATTGGAGTTCTCTCCAGAACTGAGGCACCTGACTGCGGTCAGGAAGGAGCTTCCTTTGTGTGTGTGGGACCTGCAGCCTGCAATAAGCAGCTGTGCTGATTTACGCTCCTTTCCCCAGGGGAGAGGGACATCGGGACAGTCTCTGAGAGAAAGGCCTATTAATGGGGGAAACTCCACAGTTCCGTACCGCAGGGAAATTTCTATTTACTTCAGGGATAGTGTAACATCCTGGCTGCTACGAGGCTGCTTATCCATTGTGCATATGATCGTAACTGGATAAATGTAGGAATTGTTGGAGGAGTAGCCGCTGGACTCGAGGGCTCCCTGTCTCAGGCATTACCTCCACTGCTAGGTATGGAGATGCGCTCTTGGCCACTTTCTGTGGCTCAGTGGATCTTCACTTCTTTGCTGAACTTCAGCACACCTTCAAAATGATGGGGTTAAATGCCCCCAAACAGATTTGCCCTGCAGATGGGAGCTAAGGGCATTTGAACTCTCTTCAGTCTATGGAGAAGTAGCCTAAATCTGCTGTTCCTGCGCAAGTCCTCAATCAGGAAACGACTTTATAGAAGGGATTACTGCTGTTAACTGCAGGGGCATCATAAAACCAGTGATCTCTGCTCCATCTCTGGAAAGAGAGGCTGGAGGTAGAGAGAGAGTTTCAGGCTGTGCATCCCAAGTGGATACAAGTATTCACTGCAGCCCCAAGGGAAGCGAGCAGCCACCACAAGCAGTGAGATTGAAGAACTGCTCATGTCCTCAGTGTACTTCTCTAGCAGAGGGCTAAGGACTGTTTGCTTTTAAATGAAATTCTTTTATACGTTTCAAGAGAGGCTCGGAAAGCAGGCATGAGGCACACAAACCCAGCTCTGATTTGACCTTCACTGTTCTCCCTTTCTTTTTGTTCAGGAGGATCTTCAAATTTGTATATTCTGAAGGTTTTGCACGGTCTCATTCTGGATCCAAGTTTGAACTCTGGGGCTGCCGTTCATGTCAGCACAAGAAAAACTTCACAGCGAGCAAAGTTCCTGCTGCTCCACCCCACATAGCTACACTGGTAGCTTTTCCCCTTGCAATGGGTTGCTTGGAAAACCTTTGCCTGGTGTCCTGGCTAGAAACTATTGGACCTGATTAAAGTTTGTGGGGCTGGGAGCTATTTAAATAATAGAGGATTTGGGCACCACTTTAAAATGCTGTTTTCATGAGTACATAAATCCCATTTAGCAGTATTTTTGTCAAACTTCTACTTTATGTGATGTTCCCTATGTGATGGTATATGATACAACCCTAAAATTTATACTTCAGTGTGTTTCAACCTCAACTTCTGGCTGAGTTCTTCAGCTGGTGTGGATTCATGTAGCTCCTTTGGCTTTAGAGGAGATATGATGATTTACACCAGACAAAGAGAGGATCCCTCTTTCTAATGTCATTTCCTTGGTTTTTTTTAATGTGGTATTTTTCTGTCACTTCATTTTTCATTCTTTTACCGAGAATCTTAAATGTTTCCCTGTAAACATTAAAAATCCACTTGTGTCTTTGGCATCAAATATAACAATAGGACTTGGTTTTACATCTCTCCATGGTATAATATAGAGGCATTGCCAAAAGCTATCCACTATCATTACAAACATGGGAATGGAAGACATATATAAACATAGAAGTGTAACCTCTTTCTCCAATAAGAGTTTATAATAGCAACAGTGAACTTGACCCAGTGCATTTCCTGTAGGCATAAGGTGACCTGCAGGGGTTAATGGCCCGTGGCTTTGCCTTGGGCTATCATCTCACCCAGCCAGTGATTAATCCTGGAGAAATGCCCTTTGCTCCCATCATTATCCCTTAAATGGAGCCTTTAGAATTCAAAATGATTTTGGAATGGAATTTACCACTGCCCTGCACTCCATTCATTGCAAGGAACTTTACTGTAACTGCATGTCACACTTGCATAAATAACCTTCAGAGTGAAAAAAAAGAAAAGGAAAGATGAAAGGACTGGCCCAGAGAAAGGGAACAAAACTCCAGTGCAGGCTACCACTGCCAGTAATATTCCAACAGCAGGGTGATGCAATACCAGGAGGATACGACTGCTGCAGCGAGTGGAGGTAATCAGAGAGTCCTAAAATATTTGCTGTATGTAAGAATTTTCCTGTGCAAGCATTAACTGTAGCATATTTTCAGGCAGCAATGTATTATGTTTTTGTTTGTTTGCTTGCTTAGCTGGTTCCCAGACATATTCTTGAGAAACTGAGTTCTCTTCATAATCTTAGGACAGCAAGGTCCCCGCACTGGAAACGCATGGTCTGAAGAGCTGTCTAAGGAACCAGATTATTCCCTTGGACAGGCGGAGTGCAGAAAAGACTGCGCGTGCCAAGGTAGCGTTCTGCATCAAAACCAGAGAGCTTCAGCTCATCTGCTGCACTCTCCTGTAGGTCTACCGCCTGCAGATTGTATCTGCTAGCATAGCAGCTCAGGTACTTGTAGAGTATATTGCTTATATTTTATTCCTGAGAAGGCAGTAAAATCTGTTGTAGTACAGCAATCTGCACTGTCAGTTCTATACCTGCCTCTTACACCATCTGATGTAGGTTTCATACCTGGCTATATTAAGATAAACATGCCTAGTACACAAGGCTGTAGAAGCAATTAAATTTACTTACTGGTTTTTATCTTTTAATGACACAAGTTTTCTCATATGCTATTTCAATCAAGGAATGTTCCAAATAGGAAGTTATTCAAGATCAGTGCTGGACAACCAGTTTAACATAACTCTACCATTAATACACTGGTGGCTAAAGTCTGCAATGCCATCCTTGCAGGTTCCCACGTTATCTGCACTGATCACACCCCCACCTCATCAGGAAACATATTCCTAGTGTATTCAGAGTCATTTTGCATGTGGAACCATGTCATCTGTTGCATGTGGCAAGTCTGGTGGTAGTGGTCACCCGGTGTGTGGTTGCATTTTGATCCTAGTCAGGGCCATTTTTATTCAGTAGCATCTCGTGTACTATTTTTTTACTTTATCATGGATGAACCTCAGGCAAGGCAACCTATAGTGCCTGCAAAGTGGAAATGTTCTCCAGCTGGTTCAGGGTTATCAAAGACGGAGTATGGGATACTCTTCAATAAGCTGCTCACTGTTCCTCTGGTGTGTAAACAGCATGCAGCAGAGCGAAGCAGGCCTGTCCAGCTCTGGAAGCCAGCCTTGGGTCCTGAACACTGTACCTCTGTGGTGCTTGTCTGCCAGAAGCTGCTGACTGCAATATAGAGCGTCTCATAAGCAGAGATGGTCATGGTCTGCTCTTTTACTCTTCCAATGAGTGAACCCAGATCAAGACACTCAGGGAAACTGGGCTTCCACACTGTGCCAGCGTTCCCTTCAGGTGGTGCCAGGAGTGGTTTCTGATAAGTATGGCTGATGGTGTGGCCCTTCTCTGAATCCTTATCTTGCTTGCTTACTGACGAGCCTGAGATGGAGCCTGGTCTCCGGGCTGTGTGGAGCCCTGGTCTCAAATGCATGAACGAGAACTTGGTGGATCTGTGGCTGAAGGTACAGTGCAGGTCAGCATAGGAGGAACATATATGCTGAACAGCCTTAACGTTTGAAGCCTAGACCTTTATATATTTTGGTTTTAATTTTTAAAATTTACTCCAGCTCCCCTCCTTCTGCAGTAGCCAGAAAAAGCCATGCTGCTGTGCTATGGCTTTCTGTTGCTGCTGGGCCACCTGGCAGCAGCGCCCAGAGAGAAGTGCAGTTCCTAGGTTTGGGGACCAGGACTCTGTGGTCCTTTGCTGTCTAAGTTCCTGCTCTGCACTGTGCCAGTCAGACCTGACATAAGGGCAGATAATCCGAATGTGGTTCTTTGGCTTGCTAGCCTTCTTTCTTGATAACAATCTCAATAACCTCTCTTGTATCTCACCCTCCATTCATGGTGTCTCAATTAAATTCTAAAGTGGCTGGAGGATGTGTCACACTGTGCAAAGATGGAAGACCTCTTGGGATACTGTTGGAGAGCTGTATCAACCAGAGGGTGCAATGTGGACCCTGGAGCTACCTCTATCTGACCCTCATATTTTGAAATATTTTCCCCATGCTTTCCTTAAATTTTCTTCATATTCCAAAATCAAGCTAAAGCCCTCAATATATTTTTGTAACCTGCCTATTAAGTCAGCATTAATTGTAGATAAAGATTTACCATTAATCATTTAAAATAACATGGAAAAGGAAAAAAAGTGAGGACTGTATTTTTTTTTTTCCATGATGCCTGAAAAAAGGCATTAACTGTGTTTATATTTGGGTTATAAACTGTGTTTATATTTGGGTTTTTTCCTGCTTATTTTTCATCAAGATTGCAAACATTATAAAATGATGTTGTTTAATTATCAATACTTATGTAACTACAATGCCTATAAGATTTTTGGTAGAAGTCTTTGCTTCTTTTTTAAGAGAAAGCTGCTAACCAACAGAAGAGGTTGCTAGTACATTCTTTAGCAAAACCAAGTATCAGAATAGATGCTTCATATATGCATAAACGTGTGTGTATGAAAAGAGGAGTGCATGCCTTTACCATTGGGAATCATTTCAGTTCTGGAAATCAGACGGAAGAAAGTCTACAGTTAAATTTTTTAAGTGTTGCAGCTGTTAGGAAAAAAGGAATTTTGTCTGAAAATGAGAGTTCTTATTCTGTTTTACTGGGAAGGAGAAACAGTAATAAATTGTATCACGTTTACAAGCACCTGTACGAAGTGTTGCCATATGTGTCAAACCTCCAAGCACGCAGGGCCAGTACCGTAGTTGGGACATCCATCCTCCACCCTGTTTTGTTGGAGGAAGGAAGTGTCTTGTCCCCACCTTGGGACTGGGAGAGGCAGTCTGGGGTGGGACCGGTGCTACTGCCGTCACTGTAATCCAGGATTGTCAAAACTGGACTTATGTCATGCTGTTTACTTAAAGACAACGAAATTCCTAGCTGGTTTCATGTCTTTTTCTCCTATAATGGCAGCTACAAGAAAATGTTTAAAACAAGCATATGCCTGAAAATAATCATTGCAAATTCTGTTAAATTCTCCCAACTTTTTCATTTTAACGTCAGCTTCAGAGGAATGTTTCATTGTGTGTGTGTAAGGAATCAGGCGCCATGGAACCTAAAACCTGAACGAGACCTCTACATTTTATTAGGGTATAAATAATGGTAATAATTTGATGGGGCTCCTTGAATAACACAGCAACAGAATGGGGTTTGGTTTACAGCATCGTACCTTGCCTTGTCTGTAGGGCTAGTGTTGCAGATTGCTTTCCCACAGATTGGATCCTGCCAGTTAGGTCATAAATGCCCAACTTAATCACTGGCTATGTCTAAAAAACCCAATTTAATCCCTATATAGGGCACCATGTACTTCTCAAAATGCAACTTAAAGAACTTAAAAAAGTGAAAATATGTTCCTATTAAGGTGTAGTTGAGGCTGTCATTTGATAATACAGGGGCTGGGACAGAGAGCTGGTCTCAAGCATGTTAATCTGTAAAGGGAGCAAAGCCGGTGGTTGGTTCCACAACACCCCTCTGCTGAGACACTGGAGGGTCCAGGACTTGTCTAAAATTCCTTTTCTTCTATAAAATAATTATCTTTTATTTAAAACAAGGGGAGAGAAAAGAGATAAGTTCTTAAAACTTGAAAACAGAAACTTTTGTAACACAATTATTATTTTTTAAAACAAGGCATTGTTTCTAGCCAGCTCCATAGGTTGGAATGCATGAAACATACAGATGGTATGGCACCTGGATGGCTGTGGACTTCAAGCACCTACTCTGTCTCCTCTTGTCTCTGCTCACAAAGAACTCAAACACAAAATATTTCTCAGGGGAATATAAAATGAAAAACTTCATTGGTCTGAATAATATTTTGCCCTTTCACTTCCAACACTGTGGCTGATCATCATGACCCTTCCTTTTCTTAAGGGGAGGTATTAGGAGATGTGTTGCTTTTGCTAACACAACCAGATTGGTTGCTTTTTAAATCACCTGGTAGACGTTTTCCAGTGGCAAAGCAACGTCTCTGTGCCCATTCCCTGGTAGAGAGGTCCTTAAGCACAATAGAAGGGGACAGGAACATAGAGAGATCCCTTCAAAGTATCCATATAGCTAGTGACCATGTGTATTCCCCAGACAACTTTTTCAACAGAAGAAGAGCAAACAGCCTTCTGGAGCAATTCTTGTTTGCAGAGGTTTGAGTGCAGCTGTCAAGTAAGGGCAGCGGAGCCAGTATCGTTCCACAGAGACTTGTGGCATCGTGGCCATGATGCAGCCATTTATCATCAGCCTCTGTCAGTCCCAAACCGGGGCCTCTCACATGATAACACAGAGTGCTGCTGCTCCTTTACTGACTTGGTCCCTGGTTAATCAGTTTGTTCAGGTTTTGAATGCTGTATTCAAGCATATTTTTAACAATGAAAAGCTCTCTGTGCTAAAAGAAAGGTCCTACATATTTGAGTCACATTCTTTTCTTTCCAATCATTTCAGGTTTTGTGTCACTTGATTCGTACTAGCTGTGGCTCATTATGACAAGTATTTGTCAGTGTGGACACTAAGGCACGCACAGCCCTACATGTGAAATTTAATTATGGGCAAGGGAATTTCCTGTCCATTCCCTTGAAATATTGTGGCTTAAAACTTGATAGAGTGAAGGTTTTGCAAATTGAGAGAGAGAACCATGAAGAAAGATAGACAGAGGAATAGACAGAGGGGTCCAGAGGTGTCTGATGTCTGGGGATTGAAGAAAAAAGCCAGATTCCCTTAGGAGCAGTGAATGACCTTGGAGCTACTGGAACAGAGAAAAAAGACAACACCCTGAAGGCGCAGAGGGGTACAGGATGGAGCCTGATGACAAACAGTGAGGGATGGGTCCTCGAATTGGACCGAGAGAGAAAAAAGGACTTGGAGGGGAGAAAGAAAGAAGGTTAGGGCTGGAGTGAGTCTTCTGGCCAAGGAAGCTTTAAATCAGAGATTGTAGGCACAGGATGCACGTGCTGATATTACAGTGCAAGGTACTCTGAAAAGCTATGGGATAAAATTGGCATCATTTTTATTTCATAGATTTGCTCTGCCTCTCCCATCTCATTAGAAAGGTTTGAGCAAGTGCCAGCTGCATGGCAAAGGCTGAGCCCTGGTCAGTAGTGCACAGCCTGACAGGAGAGAAGGACGTTGCCTCCTGTAAATGAAGCCATTTGCTGGGAACCTCCCTGCACATGCAGTGATATGTGTCTCTGCTTGAGAGGAGGATTATACACAGTAGAGAAATCTTTCCTTACAGGTGGGCGATATCTTTGTTGTCACTCAGGAGTTTTGGTAGGCGGGGACTATATTAAGCATTTCCT